GATAGCCTTGAAAACGGATGGACTATAGGTAATCGATCATGCTGAGTCTTGTGGCAATATTTGTTTCTAGAAAAAGTTCTAAAATCTATCGAAAAGCGAGTTTTACGAAAATTTGGGTTTTCAGGCTATTTCACCTATTAACAAATTCATTACTCACTCACTAAACATCAGAACGGGTTCAAGACTTCAGAATGTAGAGTATTTAGGAGATTGTATATCCTATTTATAGGAGATCTTAAAAGAGAGTTTACAAACCTTAAGGTCTTCCAAAAGGGTTTCTGGAAAACCCCCCTTTTTGTATTTTTGAGGTCTTCTCAGTAATTTGAGTTTTACTCCACGAAGAAATGACTTTTGGAGGCTCGGAAGATGTTATTCGTAATCAGCTCGTTGAACTGAATCTGAATATGTATAATAAAGTCAAAAATAAATTCTACTGTAAGTTTGCATTAGCTGAACCTTAAAATTATTTTGTCCAAAATTTGTTCGATCTATTCAATCAGCTAACCCTACGTTATCGTTACCACCATCTGATCATCGTGAATTTCCATCACAAGCTAAAAGCTCTGCTGCTCAAAAAGTTATCTGAAATAATTTTTTTAAAAATCAGAAATCATGTGCCGGAAAATCACAAAATATAGTAGCATGAATGAAAGATCTGGAACTACAGTTTAAAAGAATTAATTGGCCAAAGGATCAAAAAGTCGCTATTATTCTATAACTATTGAAAGGTGATGCCTTACAATGGTTTGAAAACGTTTCAGATAATATTACAACATGGAAAGATTTTAAATCGACCATAATAAATAAATATACGTCCCGATTAGATCAATCGTTAGCTTATCAAAAAATTAAAGACTATCATCAAACAATAAATCAATCAGTCAGACATTGCTATTGTGACATCATGGAATTGTGTGATCAAATTGATTCGAATATGAGCGATAAAACAAAATTAACGTTGCTTACTCCTACCTTAAGACAAAGTTTAAGGAAGAAAATACCAGAGAAAAATCCAAAAACATCAGAAGAATTTCTTAAAATCGCAGATCATTTCAATCTGAAACAGATGTTAATCCAAATCGTCGTAAATTGAATCAACAATATTCAAATCAACCGACTTCTTCACCAGTTCAAGCATCGTCTAGTAATCCATCCGTTGAACAACGAGTCGAAAACCCATCTTCTTTAATGGATTCATCGACAATTATATTAAACCAGACACTATCAGCACCTCCGCAAGAAAATGCAAATACAGTATTGTCATACAGTATTGTTGATTCAGTGAGAATCTTGATCTGGTAATTTTCTTGCAAAGACCGTTGTCTGATGTGGCTATCACTCCTAACAAGATCCCGATACGAAGATTTAGCACAGATCGGGACGGAAACCTGATAAAATCTTGGCGGAATCCTGTCTTATAATCGTGTGATCCTTGACATGATCTAGAGCGCTACAGATCCGTTACACTCCTGCTATAAGCCATGTCGTGGACGTCCTCTTAACTGCAACTATCAGAATGTCAGAAAGTGCAC